TATACGTGTGAAATCGTGACTCGATTTAATTCATAGGAGAATACGCGTTAGTTTGATCAAAACTAAAGATGAAGAACGTATACATATAGGTGAACGGGCTCGTCACGAGGGTTAATAAAGTAGAGAAAAATAATCTTTTTTATAAGTTTCATATTTGTAAATAGAAAAACAGAATATAAGAAATAACAGGAGTATGTAATAGAAATAATTATTTACATATATGAGTATGTAATAGAAAAAACAGGAGTATAGGGAAAAAGGAGAAGGGATGGATTTTACTCGATAACACCCTCGCGATGAGCAAACGTGATTTCCACGCTTAACGATGTTGCTGGTCGTTCAAAGTGAAAGTAACTGAAAAAAAGAAGAAATAAAAAAATAAATAAAAAATAAAAATGACGATAGTGAAAATGAAAGGGGGAAACGATGATGTGGAGGTTTTTCTTTTCTGTCCAACGTTGTCTTTGATTCCGGGTTGGTGCTGTCTCTGCTTGAAATGTTTTAAGGAATTACGTAGTACTACTGTGTAAACTTGGATATTGTTTTATTAACTGTTTTTTTCTTTTTTTTTTTTTTTTTTTTTTTAATAAAGCACTTAAAATATAATTTCTGGTATTTTTGGTAAGTAAGTGTAAGGATCATAAGTTGTTTTCAAAGTAAAAATAAAATTCGTTGTGCATATAACAATTGGATTATTCATCCCGGAAGCAAAGAAAAATATTCTAGAAATTTTTGATTTTTTGACGGATAGGATTGAGGTATTAAATATATCAAGGGAATAATATAATTTAATTCAAAATAATAGAATAAAATTAATAATATAAAAACGGAAATATATTGGAAAAAAGATTTGACGCGTCGCGATAGAAAAAAACAACTAAGAATAGGACGATCCAGAATAGGCATCACTGCAGTCGTATTGTGGACTTTTGGATGCCACGATAAAAATCATAATTGAGATTAGGTGTACGATTGATTATTATTATTTTTATTATTATTCTGCTTCGCTACGCGTGCAACCCGTTTTATTCGTAGTTTCAATAATTGAAAATAATTATAGGTACGGTTTTTAACATCATAGAAAATGTTAAATGTTTCTTTGTCATTGAAAATAGAATCACATAAAAATAAGAAAAGAGAAAGAGAAAAATGAAAAGTAGAGAAAAAAAAAAGAGAAAATCCATCCTCAAAAATAGAGAACAAGAGAAAGAGAAAAAGAAAGAATTAAATAGAAACTGAAACGAATGCAATATGGCTTATTCGAGATTAGCGTAGGTGAAATTTCTTTCACGCGACGTATGTTAAATTTTCTTTTCCCTTTTTTTTCCAGCGATTTTCTTTTTTCTTCTATTTTTTTTTTTTTCTAACTTTTCTTCCTTTTGACGTCAAACGAAAAAACAAGTGCACGATATGGAAGAAAAAAAGAAAAAAAAGATAGAAGAACGGAGAATGAAATAATTAGGTGCACGCATAGCCGCGCTTGAATGTGTCGTATGTGAGAAAAAGAGACAGAAAAATAGAGTAAAAGAGAGATAGATAGATAGAAAGAGTATAGAAAAAAATTATAGAGAAAAAAAAAAGACAGATTGAGAGTTACAGAGTTCGTTTCGTTAATTAATTAAGTAGCACGACAAAAGAGAATCGTTCTCCAACCTCGTCCAAAATACCTCTGCTGTTGCGGTTAAGTCTGCCGGTTTATGGTTAATTCTTTTCTATGTTTTTTTTTTTTTTTATTAATATTCTTTAGTCTTTCATATGAATATTTTTCTCATAGAAAAATAGATCTAATAGTTCAAAAAAAGTATAAATCACACACACACATATATAATAAGCATATATGTGTGTGCACGCATCATATTCTTGAACGCAAGAAGATCAAAAGAGGGTTTTGTTTTTATTCTGATTATAAATTTTTTGTTTGTTACTATTTCTAATATTTTTCACTTCTCGACTTTATTACTCGTGTCTTTTATTCCTCATGAACTGGGGGAGTCGAAACAGCTGCTCTTCTTTCTATGTAATTTTTGTTGTATTTGTTAGAGAAATTTTTCTTGTTTTTTTTTTTTTAACAATTAATCGCGAATTAAACGACGAGACGACGAGAGAGAACGAAGAGAGATGATGAAGTGTTTCTCTCTCGTACGTCTCTGTTGAAAAAAAAAAAAACAGATTTCAGGATGATCATCTAGCTGAATAAATTGACAAATAAACGGTAGAGCGTCGATGCAAGGAAACATATTACAAGGATCATTTTTTTTGTTTTGTATCATTATGAAATAGAAACGTTAAATAATTAACGTTACGTTTAAAATGTAATGTAATAATAAAACGTGGTTTTTGCATCGACGACATCATTTTGTATATATATATATATAAAAAAAAAAAAAGAAACGCGTAATGTAAACTTTGATAATTTAACGAGAACACAGATATATCGGAATAATTAATCATCATGTTCTCGTAAACTCGTTAACTATATATAATAATATAGATCGCTCGTGATAGGTATTAATAAAAATGCTTGCGGTGCTTCAGTTTGCCTACTGCTCGTAAAAAGGGGGGAAGAGTGGACTTAATAACTAGCTCTGGCTAAGCCTATGTGATGTATATTTCTCTTCGAGGTCGCATCTGCAATGGTATTACAGTACCCTAAACCCCATTACCCCCATTTGGAATCCTCCTGTAAAGAATCAAGATCATCGATCCGATTTTTAAGGTAAAAGATGAGTTCGAGAGAACTTCTCATCTGTTTTTCTTTTTCTTTTCCTATAGCTTAGAAAGCTCGTTCTAGCTTTCGTCTTAATCACCCGTCCGCCATGGTAGAAACCTCGTCCATCAACTAGAATTCTCGATGTTTTGTTGCGCACTTTGTTTGATCCGTCTCGTTTATCATGCATCGTCATTAGTCACGCAAGCAACCACCACCACAACCACCACCACCACAACCAACCACCACTGGGAGGTGGTGGCATCAAGAGAGAAAGAGAGAGAGAGAGAGAGTAAGAGAATTTATGCTAGCTACAAAATTTAACGCGTCATATTTCAACCGGCTCATCGTACTTCACTAATTTGTCCTGCTAATTGTAATAGTTATATACACGTTAAGTAAATAAATAAATATACGAAGTAATGATAAGTTCTTGTGTGGTTCAAAACGAGCAAAAAGCTTTTTTGATAGCGCTACTTTAATGCAAAACGATCGAGTATTAAAGTTAATGAGAAAAGCTCGAAAAAAGTATTTAGACTTCACGACGTGAGCTAGCGTTGATTAGAAAAGAAGTGAAATTCTTTTAAAAAAAACCATCTCATCGTTTCCATCGACCATATATATATATATATCTTCTCTTTAGAATAAGTTTAACGAGAATTTCACGAACGCTAATCTTTCTTAATCGGTCGAGGATTCAAAGGACAGGGCGATTAAGAGAATCTCAAAGGATCAAACTAAATCTTAGAAAATTTCGTTCAACATTGCAGATACGACTCCCTCGATCTAAAGATTCCTTAAATAGGGTTTTCGTCCTTGACGATCCCAGAAGAGATTCTAGGATTTAGAAAATTTATATGTATTGATCGTAATACTCTTTTGTAGATGGGTACCTGAAGGGAGGAGGAATTTTGTCGGAGATAGACACTCACTTTTTCAAAGGCACTGTTCCTTGAGGCCCCTGCCCTGCACCATTCCTGTTGTCGGTAACCCGGCAAGTCACCATGTTATACGCTGAAAGCAGTTCTATAATGTTACAAAACTATGTTAAATTTGTATGCGTACGGTTACACAGGTGCTTGCCCAGCCCCTGCGGTGCTCGGATCGTTGTCGTCGTCCTCTGATTAAATAAAATCCTACTACTATTATTTCTGATAACTCAAATTACTTTATCGATATGAACTTAATTGTTAAAAATTTGAAACTTTTTTAAATTACCTCTAATCCTATTTATAAAAGTTCTTCTAGTATTGCACGTAAGAAAATGCAAATTCCTATTTACTCTACCTGCAGATTCGAATGAAAAATATAATTATTAATCTTTAATTTGATTAATGAGAATGATCGACACGACCAGGAGCAGTGATGCAGGCCGGATACAAGACATGTACGTTGTATATCAAGCGTTTATTATTTTAACCATATGAACGTAAATAACCATACCTTTCTCCTGTTTTCGTCTTTTCCGCTTATTGCAGATCTTCACCGCACATATACTCAGGATAATGGCGACGATGAAGAAAAGAATACCACCTACAACACCGGCCGTGATAGCTTTGTGTTTCACACGAGCAGGTACAGGAAATTTAACTTGTTCGCTGGCACCATAATTCGTCGCTGAATTTGCGAACACTTGGAAATAATACGTTCTACCACCAACCAGATTCTTCACTGTTAACACCAAAAAAACAAAAATCAAACAAATTCATTTTACGAATCAATCGAATTTATTATATCTTTGTAAAAATTTGAACTTACCCAAAAACTGTGTATCCTCCGGACGGATTTGTCCCTTATTGAGATTTTTCCAGGGCCCGTCAGTTTTATATTTGATAGTGTAATGTTGAATAAGATGATTCCGTTCGGATGGAGCTTCCCAAGTTATTAGAAAACCATTACTGACTTCGGTCACCGTAAGATTTTTCGGTGGACCTGGTTTCGGTCCTGTAAATATATCCACATATGTAATATTCAATGAATTTATTGTAAAATAAGTTTATTTAATTTTAGTATAGAAAGGAATCAAATAATATTACTTATTATATTTTAATATAGTATGCAATTTTGTTTACTTACATTATACTTTTTATTTCACAAATATAAAAGAATGTTTGATACATTTTAATATGTAATATTTTAAATGTAAAAGTAAAGAAGAAGAAGAAGAAGAAATAGATGTAATCAATTATTATTTTTTTTTTTGAACGTTTTTCTCTTGCTCGGTTGGATATCATTTTTGAAAAATAAGGTCAGCTAGGAATTAGGATTACGTGTGTTAATAAAGGTAACGAATGAATGCCGGAAATAATTAGGCTGTAACGTTATACGCGTTAGAAGAGGAACGAAAGATGACCTCACGTTTGTGGCTAATCCTATTAAAAAGCTACATCAATATCGTTTCATTACTACACCCACTGTCGGTTAAAGTCTAACCATAAAAAACCTTACGGTTATGTTCAAACACGGTTAGATCGTTTATAAAACTAAATCCAATTGAATTCGTTGAAATTAATTTCAAACAGAATTTGTTCTCTTTGACTATGTTTCTTCTATTTATTTTTCTCTTTTTTTCTCTTCTTTCCTATCACTTTTAATATAACACGAGGATCGTAAATAAAGAATAAAGAACGCATTAGGTATAAACGTTACTAAGCCGTAAAATGAAGGAAGAAAACGAATAAGAGAACGAGTGGATTAATCCAATTTACAAGGATTGCGATAAACTCGAAAAGAAAGTGTATTCGCCCGAACCTAACTTCCTTCTTTTGAAATAGCCCTACGAAAAGGGTGGTGGTGTTCACGAATGATGCTGCTACTACTGGTTGTAGTAGTAGTGGTGGTCAATGCATCGATCGAAAACGGGTAAAAGCCCGTGGGAGGCGTAAAACGAATGAAAAAAAAAAGGAAAGAAAAAAAGAAAACAGTTGGTCCAACGTGTACAAAAAATCCAACGTTTCTCAACGTTTGAAGTTAACGAGATTCCTCCCATGTTCTCTTTTTCATCGAGCAAACCTTAACAAAGGTTCTTCTTCCTTCCCTGAAGATAAACTGATTTTATCGTAATATTGAAAGAGAAGAGAGAAAAGATAGATAGTAGAAGAGATCTCTCATGGAGCTTTAAATGAATCTCACTTTCATTCCAATTTTCTATTCGCGAGTTCCCCAAGGAATATCGGTAAAAGTAACGACGATACGTGGAAAGCCTTAGGCGTTTTAACAAAAATGCTTTTTCTTTTTATTTTTTATTCTACCTTAAATTACGAAATTAATAGTGTACGTTATCATCGTAAGTTAAGAATAATTTTATCAATGTTTCTCAAATGTTATTAAATTTTTATTATTTCCAACCTTTTAAACTGGACGTTTTTAAATTCGTTCAAAAAATTTTTTTTTTTTCAATTTCATTTGATTTTCCTTTCTTTTTTTATTTCTTTACGAGACACATAACATCGATCTGTCTATTTTCTTTCTCTCTCTCTCTCTCTCTCTCTCTCTCTCTCTCACTCATTCTTGTTCTTTTTTATTTTCTACTTTCTGCCTTTCGTATTTGATTCCTTTCCTTACGTTTCTTTCGATCTTGCAAGCACAAGATTCGAAGTCCTTTATTGCAGAGTAATAACGTTTAATCCGACGTACTTCGAGTAGGAGAAAGATTATATGGATAAGAAACGACCAGGAGGAGAGGAAGCTTTGACTTCCTTCTTCCGACAAAAGGGGAACGCAATAAACGTTTGCTAGGAATTTTAATGAGAAACTTTCTAAAAGGTTCCTTTTTTTTTATTATTCTCTCACGTAGAGTCCTTTTAAAATGGCGATCTCTCTTGGATGATCGATCAGAAGAGAATTTCTGAAAGTAAAAGTGCTACAAATTTTCTCCCATTTTTTGTGCTTTAATTAAAATAAAAAAAAAAAAAAATATTGATGGTGGTGATGGTGCTGCTGTACAGTATTACTACTACAGTGAACGTGTTATTTTATCGTACAAATATTTTTTATAGAAATTTGTAAGATTGAAAGGTGCCGATGAGTGAAAAAAGGGTTGGGAGAGAAAAAGGGTTGTTTAAGGTATATGGAAAAGGTGAGAATACTGAGAGTGGACGTACCATACTAGAGTCACTTTTACTACACGTCGGATTTAATAACGGTGGACGTGACGATGCACACCTTTGACTACTTTCTAAACCCATATTTCCGTGAACATACGTACATATATATGTGTGTACGTACATTCGTATAAAGCAAACATGAAATGGGAAAACGAGGTAGGAAGGGAAAGTCCGTCTACAAAGTGGATTAAAATATCGCCTTTTCGACTAACTTCTACGAGGAATATATACGTGAAATTTTACATTTTTGTTTTCTTTTTTCCTCAAATGGAATTGACAAAAAGAATTGAAAATAATTGGAGAACGAGAGATGAAAAGAAAAAACACTTTTGTTATACCTTTGGGCCTTATGGTAGACGGTATGCCTGTATTTCCAGTAGAATCGGTCGATAATTCGAGGGTACTATAATCTAAGATGTCTGAAATTAGAAAAACAAAACAAAAAAGAGGATGGAGGGAGTAAAAAAAATCAAAGTGAGAAATCAAAGAAACGCAGAAAGAGGGAGAAAAAAAGCCTTGTTTGTAAGAAGAAAAAGGATGGGTAAGATAAAAGGGACGGAGAAAGAGAGAAAGAAAAATAAAAAAAGGCGGGGGGGGGCAATAGGAGAGGAGAGGTTGAAGGGTGGTGATGGTTCTAAGGGCGTCGTAGGTGAACTGGAAGAGAGATTCAAGCGTACGAACATGATCCCCCAGGAGTATCATTAATCTCCTTTAATCCAGTTTCTCGAGGAAGACTAACAAGCAAAGCTGATGATGCGTGAGCGTGCATGGTAGCCAGAGTAAGGGTGAGTGGGTTGCTAGATGAAGAGAAAAGAATAATGTTGAAGGAGAATGGCAGAAATCTGTAGGTGCTCGAAGCATCGTACGTATGTATGTATGTACAAATGAAAGGCAATGAACCATTGGATTTGAGGAAAGGAAATAAAAGCGGAAGCAGAACGAACACGGCTCGATGGGTTTTCCGATACGATAAGTCGCGACGGAAAAGCCTCCGGTTCCCTTCTTTTCTTCTACTTTTATCTTTTCTATTCTTACGTCCTATCTATATCTATCTCTATTTTTTTACCCCCTGTTTTTTCTTTTTTCTTTTCGTTTCTCTCTCTCTCTCTCTCTCTCTCTCTCTCTATTTTTCCGGACTTTCCTTTCTTTGTCGTCAATGTGTGTTAGTGTGAGTCTTCGTTTATGACCGTGAGGGGTATCTCTTCCATATAACTTTTCAACTCTACTTGTTTGACGATATTCAAACAAGAGAATCGTATGCAAAAAGATTGTATTGTTGCTACGTTATTTTTTTTTTCTTTTCTTTTCGTGGACCGTTTTTTATTTTTTTTTCTTATTTTTTTTTTATGTGCATTCGCGTAAATGATTTTATGTAATTACCTTCTAATACTTCTCTACCTCTAATATAGAGAATAATATTTTAATAAAACATTTGAATTAACGCGATTTTAAAAAAGGGATAGATTTTCAATGAAAATCTTACCGCTTTGGTCCGTCGCAGCAGCCTGACCAGCACTCGATGATGGTGTCAGTGCCACGTCTTTAGGAATGAGCAACGTTAAGAATTAGAATAAAGAAAAATTTATACGACTAGCAAATGAGAAATTTAATTAAGCATTAGAGATATCTATGTTAGTAAATGCTGGCTTTAGTTATTGTTTAGACTAATTCTACCCCGAGGCGAATGCAATTTTGTTAATTGAATATTTACAAACAATAATAATAAAATCATTTTACAAATTCGAATAATTAATTACCGAGAGTTCTGATGGTGATGACTTTGCTCATTGTTCCGTCACCCAAAGCGTTTTTTCCGATAACCTGAAACTCATAAACCGTAGCCGGTGTCAATCTGTTGATCGTGACCATTGTACTACCCGATGGTGTCACTGGTATCGTTTCCCATTCTGATGTACCAGCTTCTCTATACCTGATAAATGAATGAAATTAATGTAACATCGAAAAGAAGGAATTAGTTAATTAAAATAAAATAAGTTACTTACCAGATTGTATAATCTTGTTTATAATCAGGACCACCGGAATAACCAGGTAACCAATTTAATGTAACTGAAAATTCCGTAGCGTTGCCGGTAACGTTGTAAGGCGCATGAGGTTGAGTACCCTCGACGATTAACTGAGTCGAAGTGGAAATGGTAGCAACTTCGTTCGATGCAACGCAATGATAAAATCCAAAATCTGTACGTCGTAAGCTTTCGATCGTGAGATTACCGCCGTTGATTTTTGCCCGGTTGCGTTGAATCGGTGAACCGTCCTTCTGCGCAGAATAATAAAGATAGAACAAACGTCATAGAAAATATAATCGATCACTGTTAATTATTTAAAAAAGATAATAACGAAATTATTTCTATAATTGTCATACCCTAAGCCATTGTATGGTAGGTTTCTGAGTGCCTTCTGCTTCCTGAGCGTTGCAATGCATTTCGACGCTTTCGCCATATTTTTTCTGATAAACCGTTTCCGGTTCTAACGTGAAAACCGGTGGTTTTCTAACGAGTACTTCCATTGGCGCTGAACTACCCTGGGTACCGTGAGCATTGTAAGGAGTACACGTATACCTTCCTTGATGATTCTCATTGACTCGCGTGAACAGCAGGGAGCCGTTGTTCATTATCACGATTTCCTTAGCCTGATAAGGTTCTAGTAGTCGCTTGTCCTTCGTCCATGTTACGTATTGAAATTGCGGATTAGCCTTGATATAACACTGCACTACACCAGCCAACCGGAAGGGCAGATATTGAACCGTCGGCGTGAACGCGACCTTCGCTGGATCTGCATAGTAAAGTGGAACACGTGATATTATCGCGATGAATTTATTTTCGTTGAAAACAACACACCAGTACCTCTACAAGTTTTATCTTTAACTTACACTCTACGTTGAGATAGGCACTGGCACTTTGGGGCAAGCCAATACCGTTGGTAACCTCGCAGAGATATTGACCGGAATCGTCGGCGCTGACAGGACTAATGACAAGGCTCCCATCCATCCTGATTGAAGCTCTCGTGTCCAATGACGATACTTCCGTAACCGGTGCACCTTCTCGAAACCAACGTACCGTCACGTTTCCTGGTAAAGCCTTTGCCTCGCAAGAAAACTGAACCTTTTCTCCTTCGAGTTTCGACTGATTCGATGGGGGTACCATAATGACAGCTCCTCCTGTAGAAACGGAAATTAAACGCACCGTGAAAATACTCAGCCTGTCCTTATCTGTCTCGCATTTTTCTTTCTTTTTTTTTCTGCTCGACACCCTTTTTCTTTTTTTTTTCTTTCTTTCTTTTCCTCCCCTTCTTTCTCACTCCCTCTTTCGACAGTTATCGTTTTGTATTTTTTTTTCTTTTTTTTTTTCTACAACAAAATGGCGTGTATAGCTTAATATCGTGCTAGTGTGGGAGCGTATTCGTAAGCTTTGCAGATTCGCTTTTACATTCGGGATAGTGGAGGGGGAAAAAGAAAAAAAAATACGATTCGAGTTAGGTCTTTAAATGATCGTTTAAAAAGGAAAAGATACTAGGAGCAAAAGCTTAACATCTTACACGCTCGTATGAACAACGGTGACACGAAACGAATGTACTCGACGATCAAGAATAATGTTATTGGATATTCTTAGAATAAAATTCAATTAAAATGCAAATGCGTTCTTTTTCCCTTTACTGCCGTGTGACATTTGCAAAGAAAAAGAACTTAGAAAGAAAGTAAGTAAAAAGGAACAAATTTAAAAGTAAAGAGAAAAACGAATAGAAAATTCGCGAAGCATCAGGATCATTTTCTTAATCGAGAAAGGTGTGTGTCTTCTTCTTATATTATATTTGGTCCTTGTATTATCGCTTAAAATTCGAGCTACGATTAATAGTAGAATGAAAATGTAAATAAGATATACGTTGAATGGAAATAAATCTTCGTGAGTGTGTTTTGGTAGTTACGAGAAACTTCAGTCCAGGTCAACGTAAAATAGGTAGAAAAAGAAAAATACGCTCACAATTTTACATTTCAAATGGATCGTCGTGGTAGTCGCCGTAGTCGTCGTTCGTATTCGATTAAATTGTTTGAATCAAATAGATGCGGAAAACACGCCCCTCATCGGTATTGTTTTCTTTTTACGATTGATTTGATTTCCATCTTAGCGTATAAATCTTTTTCGATTTACGAATATAATAAACGATATTTTTTAATAAAAAAATATACCAATATGCTATTTCACAAAATTGCGATACTTTTTTTCAATTAAAATCAAAATACTAATTTTGATTTATTTTTTCAGATAAAATAAAACATATAGATCGATCTTGAATGTTGCAAAAGAACAAATTGTTTGGTTTGTCCTCGATGACGAAAACACGACTAGGGGTTAGGTCAATATCCTGGACGAAAGTATGGAATAGAACGATGGTGCTTTTAATGTTACTTCATGCAGAAACAGGACGCGAAACGAAATCGTGGCAGTATCGAGCCGGAGGCTATTCTCGTAAATAGGAATTCTCCTCGTAAATATATATATATATAACATATACACATGGAAAACTGGAGACCAACGTGATATGGAATCAAAAATCGAAGAACAAGCAGCACGATGTTGCGTTATGTTTGTGTACCACGATACTTCCTTTCGTAGATAAAACACATTTCTTTTTTCCCTACTATTATATTTGATTTATTATTTATCTATCGTTATTTCTTTATATGATAATATTATATTTTCTCGAATGTGTGTTAATTTCGTCTACTTATTTAACGTTAATTATTATTTGAGAAAAGAGATAATAGTACCTTTGCAATTATATTTTTTCAAGCACTTATTCATGAATTTCTCAACAAATACTATTTTTTCTAAGGGTACGCATTATATATATATATATCGTTGCCGATAACCGATGGAATTTTTACTTTAATACCCACAAGAATTTGAAAACTCGGAGCTTTGAGCAACGAACTCGACGTTCCAGAAGGAAATATCATTGTAGCTAGTATATAATGGAAAAATAGAGGGTTGAGGAGGGGAACGCGAGATGGATGTATGAAAAGGGTAAAAGAGTTAGAGAGAGAGAGAGAGAGAGAGAGAGAGAGAGAGAGAGAGAGAAAGAGTACGAAAGAGTGGATAAAGGATGAGAGGGTGGGGATCGATCTCAGCCAACAAAAGGCTGAACTCTTTCTCCGATTCAGCAATATTTTCCACAATCCGATCTGTCGTCACTTGCAGGGATTAAGGTAGGTTTTATGTATCCTCGCGAGATGTGCGAGAGGAGAGGAGGCGCCTCTGCTGCTGTTGGATTTCAACTTTTATGTAAGAAATATTCGAAGAATCGTAGATCTCTTCCGGATTAAGGAGCGAGCGAACCATTCTTACCTACGAAGAATTTCTACGCGAAAAGAAGAAAGTTCGAGTTTTAAACTTCTTGTTTTTTTTTTTTTTTTTTTTGGTAAAAGTATAAAAAGATGCTGACACATAGCACGTATTGAGCTTATATATATATTTTTTTCCAAATATATATGTAATGTTTTGTTTTTGATCACATGTCAATTGTATTAGAATTAAATTTGATTTTAGTAATTAATTAAAAAAAAAAAAAAAAACAAACAAATAGATAATAAAAGGATATACACGTAAATGTTTCTTCTTCTCGTAATAATTTCGAATGTGTTACTTTCAACAAATAGAAAACATTTTTCGTAACGTATGCTTACTTTCTTTTTTTTTTATTTTTATTTTTTTTTCATGTAATAAATGATTATCATCAGTTTTGGTATACCTATTTTACCTACCTATCATATCTACCTACATATACTTCTTTGAATGATGAATAAAAGAATGTATGTGTCTCTGTGTGTGAATCGTCTCTTGAAAAATATGCATCAACGTAGGTATCGCGTCATGTGTTGGTATATTCTGCGCTTTCGCTTTACGTCGAGGGGGTGATTCAAAGGACTCGTATTCATTTATTCATCGTCCGCAGAGAAGTGCATTGAAGTTTAATGGTGACTATTTCAAAGATATCTACTCTACCGACAGTTTTTTTTTTTTCTACTTTTTTTTCGTAAGACGCACGATTCTTATCAAAGCTTGGCAAACTCTCGTTCCTCGTGCTTTTGCAGCAACTAACGAAAACGTACAGGAAAAAATAGAAAATGTAGAAAAGACAAAAAATGGATATCAACATACGCGAGCAACTATTAAACTTGAATTACACGTTTCAATTTACTCACCGAGCCCAACTTATATTATTTCTCTACAAACGATCTCTTTCGTTCTTTCATGAAAAAATATCATGGAGTAACTTTTCTACTGCATCTTTTTCTCTTTTTTTTTTTTTAAAGTATTTCATTTATTAATTACGAAAGATAAAGGTAGTTTATTATAATTAATTCGCGTTTTTTCATTTTTCTTTTTTTGCTCTGTTCGTTTACGTAGATGACAACAGAAACTACATTCGTAGTTACTGCAACTCAATTTAACAGACTCTTTTACATAGTCACTTATATATATATTTTCTTGACTCGAAGAAACATTAGAAAAGAGGTCAATGTTTAACGATGACGAACATTTTAATTAATTCATTATAAATCAATGCTAACATTGAATAGAAACATGCTCTATAACGCTTATATATAAAAAAAAAAAATAAAAATATTTAAACTTTGAAACAGTTCAAGTATCCAAAAGTAAGGAAAAATGGATTCAGGATATTCGCTAAATATTTAAAGCAAGATTAAAGTTTCTCACCGATGATAGTACTAAGAAAGATATATATCTATATAGATATGTGTATAGAGATAGACAAAAGTTTAACTTCTTTCTCGTCGTTTGAAATACTTGGCATTAATGCCGCTCAACTGTCAGTTCTATTTCGTATGAGATAGAAAAGGAACTGAAAGATAAAAGAAATAAAAATATACCTTTATCTATCTCTCTCTTTCTCACACACATACACATACTCTCAGTTTTACAATGTCACATTTTACCTTTTACTAAAAGTTAAAAGAATATTCAAAAGAAGTTTATATATTAGTTTAAAACTTTTTTCAATCGTGTTAATCTCAATGAGAGAAGGTTAGGGGGGAAAGGGAGAAAAAAAAGTCAAGAAAAAAAATGTTTAATAGAAGTTAAACGTTTCTTTCAAAATTCACATTTAGAAAATAATTTAGATCAAAAATAAGATGATAAGTTTTTACCAGACTGTGAGGGGAAAGAGAGAAGGAAATAAAAGGAAAGGAAGAGTAAAAGAAAGCTGCAAGAAAAAGTGGACGAGATCGTTGGGTCAGATGGAAGAAACATTAGCCGTGAGGATATGCGGGTGACAAGGGGAGAAAGGGGAGACAAATCGTCTTTTAACGCGAGCTTCGCGGTGTGCGAGAAGCACCCTTAATTGGCCAGAAAGAGGCGTTTGGAAAAGTAGGTAACCAGGAAAAAGGTGATGGTGGTGGTAGTGTGCTGGTTTATGGTTTGGTGGTGGTGATTGTGGTAGTGGACTGTAACCACTTTACCTAACGCGAATTTTATCGCTTCGTGGAAAACGACACGCACACATAAAAATACGTATCGAATTTTTTCAATTTATGATTTATATATTATCAACAACAGGATACCCTGTACTCGAATACCCCTATCTTACTCGAATTTATATATATATATATATATATATATATTTTCCTTAGATAGAAGATATATCTTCTGTTAATATCAAAACCAATAACCGCGTGGTCGATTGATTTCCAAAATAAAAAAAAATAATAATAAATAAAAAACTAAATGGAAGGAAGATAGAAAAACAGATAAAAACGTAGAAAGATATTCGAGTACTTGGTATAATGATTATCATCCCTCATAACTTTAGATGATATAAATAATATATTATTATAATATATGCATAATCACATAATAATAACGCAAAAAGCTAATAAAAATAAAATGTAACAGAAACATATATGTTTAACTCATGGTCAGAGAATACAATTTTATTTTTTTTGTTTTCAGTTTCGTGGGTGGGCGATCGTTCAGGGTGGAGGAGGGGGATTTATGTCTGTCAGTCCATCCGTGTTTTTTTAAATTTTTTTATTTATTTGTTCTCCTGCTCCTGTGTCCATTATGGGTAGAAGAATAGTAGAATCGATTTCATGGAGATACGTTGTTAGATCACGTTCATTATCTGTTACAATCGATAGCTCGTCGTTGGCACGAATGAGATAAAAGAAACCATCGATAATGTTGTAAGCGGATGCTAGAAACACTTAAAGCTTTGTCCAGTCGTTCCGTGAGCATTATTAAAATACTAAAATGATCGCATGTGTATATGTCTCTGTGTGTGTTTGTATATTCATGTATGTATTTTATGTTTATGTGTGTGTGTGTGTGTGTGTGTGTGTGTGTGTTTGTGTGTGTGTGTCTGTATGTGTATGCATATGTGTGTAAGAGCATATTAATCGTGTAAATATGTACGTGTGATTTCGATGAACAGCATTAGCGATGAAACGTTTCCAGCGTGTGAGAGAACAACAAAACCTCTGTGAAAGATCATTGGAAAAATGAATGCCGATGATTGGCTGAAACACTTTCGATAATTCCGCGAGCTCTCATTCTCTGCTTCTAATCGCGAAATATTAGATTTTTGTCTCAATTTAATTTATATATAATATATTAGATGCATGTACAATATGTTATTATATCGATCATTTAGTTAACGTTCTCATATTTCCCCATTTTTCTTTCATATCCTTTCATTTTCTTTTTTTACTCTTTCTCTTTCTCTTTTTTTTTTCTTATTATCTTTTATCATTTTTTTTAAATTTTATTTTATTTAATTTTTTTTTTGCTTCTTTTCTTTTATTCTTTTCATTTCTTTTCTTTCTCGAGCTTTGATACGCGCTTGATTCGAACTACTTTTTGAGAGCCACAGTGATATAAGTCAATTACTTCTCTTCGCGAGATATAAACACGAAAAAAGTATGCTAAAAATTTGATGGTAAAAAATGTAGGCAAACTCCAAGGTGATAAATATGGACATGCAATTCGGCTCAAAAATAAACTATTATCTTTACTAGCGTGATCGAGTTACAAAGCAAATTGGTACTAAAAATTATATATATAATAATATATATATACGAAGAATGTCATGAATGGAAATTGAAAAATTACTGAATTATACCACTTTGACTTACTTTGATTATTTGATCGTATCGAGCGTCTATGCCGATATAACAACAGCGTCAAATTACTGGTTCGCTTTGAGGTATTCTCTGATACTGTGGTTACCGGAATTTCCATATCGGTATTCGCTCGATCTGTAATTATCGAAAATATTTGTGTCTAATAACGCTGTGTTCGTCAATAGCCGTTGCAATTCAGTTTTTATTGATTATCTGATATAAACGTCGTACTTTATGCGTAAAGATACTCTCTATTCGCGATCATTTTCCACCCCATAAAGTAAGTACGAGATATTACAAAGTATATCTAAACATTTATATATAAATATATATGAATAAACATATGTATATAAATACAAATATACAACGAACAAAAAAATTTACCGTAGTTTCGTAGATTTTTCACGTTATATATATATAACATATACAAATCATAATAGTGCCCGACGTTTAAGGTTTTTTTTATTTCTTTTCATTTCTTCTCGACGAAACGCTGATAAGAAAAATCCTGATTACACAGATATAACACCACTGTCTCTTCTTGCTCGGTACCCAGAATAACAAATTAAAATATTCTCGTCGTCGAGAGTGAGAAGCTTCGCAAAAAGAAAATACAATATTTTTTGCCAGTCCGTATAGTCGAGGAAAGTTATACATTTAAATATATATATATATAAAAATAAAAAAAATAAAAAAGTAGAAGAAAAAGAAGAAGACAAAAAAAAGAGAAAAAAAAACCCATAAAGAAAAGGGTTTGCTCGTCTTACTTATTGTCTTCGCGAGATACCTGCAATATTTTTCTCCCTTTCTTTTTTTCTCTTTCTCTCTCTCTCTCTTTCTATCTTTCTCTTTCTTTCTTTCTCTCACACTCCCTCTTTCTATATTTTTCCATTTTTTTGTTCTTCTTTTATTTTTCCTTCTGTTCATAATACATTTTTTTTCATTCTTAATCTTTTTCTTGTTTTTTTTTTTTCGTTATATCACACCCTGATACAAAAAGGGGGATGGAGCAGGATCGTTTTCTACGATGTTAGGCGCCTTTTTTTCGTCGTTGTCTCACAAACCGCGAACCAAGTGGATTAAAGCCGCATCATGGTTCGTACTACAAGGGCTAATGCGTTTCTGTCAGAAAGTTAATGCTTAAAATAGCACCCTCTAATGTTTCCCACCGGGTAATATTTGTAACGTCGTATGGAAAAAAGAAATAGGAACTATAATATTACAATATCACGTTGTTCGATGTTATAATACACGCGCGACGTTGACTCGAATACATTCAACTATTACACGGATTCGTCTGTGGTTTTTTATTCTAAAAAATATTATCTATAAAACAATGATTTAATAAGAACGCGCGTTCAAAAGAAACATTAATAACTACGACGTATAATAAGATTAAAGTAGAAACATGTTATTCTTATTTTTATTCAAAATATTTTCTAAAGAACACAGTGATCAAAAATTATTTTTACCCCAGTTTTGTTTTTTGATTTCCATCCTCTAAAAGGAAATCTTTATTTTTTTATTTTTCTAAATACAACATGTAACAGAAGAAGAATAAGAAAATAAAATATAAATATATATATATATATATATATATATATNTATATATATATATATATATATATATATATATATATATGTATATAATGTATGTACAAAGTAACAAAGTAAATAGTTAATATAAAAAATATGAATAAAAGGACTTACGTGATCGACGATAATAATGCTAAATAGAAAATAATAAAAGGATAGTTGTTTTCGATGATCTTACCGCTACGAGTTCACAGTAAAAACTGAAGAAGACATAAGTGAGGGATAATGATATCATACAAAGCAAACATAATTGACTTTTCAGGTGTTTACTATTTTTAAATAACTTAACGTGTGAATGAGAAATAATCGAATACAATTGAAGGATTTAAAAATTACTACGACAGAGTACCTTCGAAATAAAATCGATTTTTTCAAATATTATATTAAAAAAAAAAAAGAGGATACAAGAAACAAATCTATTGTGCTAATTAAATAAAAACAATGATTATTATTATCTCACCTGCTATGATGACTCGCGCAGTATGACTGATTTGTCCCTCTCCATTTCTCGCAATGCACGTGTAATCACCGATATCCTCGTTTTTGATGGTTGCAATTCTCAGTTCGGTACCGTCGTTGAAGATACCAATCGTTTGTGACGGTTCGACAGGATTTGCATCTTTGTACCAGAGAATTTCAGGCGTCGGGGTACCTTCGGCTTGGCAGTTCAATATTATCGCATCGCCCAGATTCACGTAAATCATCTCCTCGGGCGTTATACTAAATCTGGGTGGTGCTGCAAGAATATGAAATATTACTAAATTACAATCATACCACCCACTACCCTTCCATTAATTTCTATCTTCAAAATGAAAACTAAAATTATTTCAAATGGTTTCCTTTGCAAATCATAGTTTTAACAGGTCTGACTATAATATTTATTACAATGTACTTTCGACATATAAATTAAATGGATATAAAAAAATATAATTAATAATTTTTAGTTAGATAATATGAGTATATAAATTTATTTTAAAATATAATATAAAAAAAAACTATAATATAAATAATATAATATACAATAATTTATATATATATATATTAAAATAAGATATTAATATTGTAATTTATATTATATTATATAAATAATATAATTAAATTA